TGGAGTCACAATTACTTCATGTAGGGAGGTGGGCGGTGAGGGAGACATAAACGACATCCGGCTTATATATTCCTTCTGACAGTAAACAGTGGAATATAAGTCCGCCAGTTCTTCAGCTTCAGCTGACGCAGTGGCCGTCAGTCCATTAGGGGTATGCAGAGGTGAAATACCCGGTTTCACAGACGCCTTATTATTAATGATCCAATAGAGAAGCTTAGGATTTTTTTCCATTTTCTCTAAAAGCATTAGCTGGTAATCCTTTTTGTCGTTCACGACCAGCGTGTTGACTTTATTTCTTAGTAACCGATATTTTTCCCATGTTGTTGTTGTTCGGTGACGTCGAATGAGGACTTTGAGTTCGTATCAATGCCAACTCGCTGGTTATCACAGACTGGATGATGCTGAGTACGATAATGGAGACCTGAAATGTGTGTGCAAGCTGGCGGCTTTTCGTATCTAGCGTAAGATCACAGTCACAACCATACTCTTTAGCGTTGAAACCAGACTGTGCGAATTACGATCGACTACCGATGGAGGAACTGCCGTTCTTACTGGAATGTCTGTCTGGACTCAGACCATGCCGTAACGTGGATCAGTTTTACGCTGCGTTTCTGTGGCAAGCGAATCCGTCGGACCAAGTGAACTAAGTTGCGATGACTCATCACCTACGAGTTATTCGGATAGGCTGTAGTGATCAAATTGAATGGGGAGACACCTGGTAATCTAGATCACCGGTTAAAGGTACATCGCTATCCTAAAGCGGCAGGATAACCAACGCCTGCAGATCTTCCCATGGAACATTCAAGCAGTGGTTATCACCCGAAAGTTTTCACCTGCTAGAATCAAGCTGAAGAGATGGGGCGAGAAAGGGTGAATGTTGACAGCCACCGTCAGTTCCGAGTAATTCTACCAGATGGCCTTGAAAAGGACCGACGTGAGCGAAGATAATCTAAGAGCTCAATATGATGCTCCGCGGGTCAACTTTTGGACAGAGCCCCATTTCAGCCACGGCACCCCGAGTGTCGATGAAACCAGATAATGTGCCACGTAAGCATCTAGTCTGTGTCAACGAATACGGGGCGAGATGGCTAAAGTGGTTAGAGCGCGAATTTACTGACCGGAAGGTCCGTGGTTCGAACCCGACCTCTGTCTCTCGACTTCCCCTGTCTGGGCTTGGGTAACCTGGCAGTATCCCATCCCTTGTGCTTCCTTCGGGTGGCATGGCAGTTGGGCACCGAAAAGGCGCTACAGTTGAACGACTGTAGTGAGTGTGTGTGCCGTCGGTCCCTTCGTTAATAAAAGGTGATGTTGTGTGGAAGTGTAGCGCGTCCGCAAGG